CAATCATATTTCCCTTACTTGCTGTGGTGGAAATTACAACTTGTGAATGGGTATTACTGTTCACTTCAAATATTCTGTGTTACCACTCTCACTTGGGAGTTCTCATGTTGTCTTCTTCAGGCTGATTTACCAATAATCCTTCATCATTGAGTACATCAGTAGAATGAAGGTCTGTTGGAGCCCACAGAGGTTTCCTAGTGATCTCTGAGCTTGCTTTACCAGCAGGGCTGCATAAGAGGATGATTGGACCTCGTGCCTGGGTACTGGGTGTTTGGTAGTTGTATCTAGTAAGAGGGTGGTCTTTGCCTCCCCCCTAGGTATTGATATAAAAACGCTTTGGAGTAAAGTTCTGAGCTGGTGGATTAAGTTCTAGGCTCCACTTAGGCTATCCTGTGTCTCTATTTCCCTCTTCCCTTTATATTTCTATCTAAACCACCTTTTTCTCACTCCCCAAGAACACCCAGGGGGAAAGTCCACACAGAAGTCTCATGTAGAAGGAAATTAGGGAAGGAAGTAGGTGCTCTGTGCTCACAAAGGTGGTGATATAAGATACAAGACTTCTCTGTGTTATATATGTATGGAGTTTTCTACATTAATAGTAGGATTATTTTATTTTATAAAATGTTTAGTGTCCCTCTTCCCTGATGAGTATACAACTAAGGTCAATATATTTAATTAATTTTTCTTGAGAATTTCATACATCGTTATAAAACCACTTTCTCTCCCAATTCTACTTCCCACACATCACATGCAACCAAAATTCTCAACTCATGAGTTCTTTTTCATTTACTTTTTTCAAACACTCATTTTCATTTACTGCTTTAACATACTCATGCACTTGCACCTACACACAAAATAGATTCAGTTTGTTGTTGCTCAGCTACTCATGTGTTTGGTGATGATCATATGGGAATAAAAAAAGCTATGAGGTTTCATCCTGGATAAGACCAATCTCCATCTCCCATGAGCGCATTACTTCTAATTTAGACAGAAAGATTCATGTTATAGTGTATCAATAGGATCTGTGTTTTTCCTTGATGAAGACAGGCATTATGAAATAGAAGCATTGCTCTTCAGAAAATTCTCAATTACATCTTTATCAATAAAGTATGCAAATGTTGTAAAGTTTCCAAAATACATTGGAGTGACCTGTCAAATAAGAAATGCTGAAGTTGCACTACTGATACTTATGCTTTCTGCATCAGATAGGGATCAGTGTATGAAGTGTCCAGAGGACCAGTATGCCAATGCAGAGCAGACCCACTGCCTGTACAAAGATGTGACCTTTCTGGCCTTTGAAGACCTCTTGGGGATGACTCTATCCTGTATGGCCTTGGGTTTGTCTGCATTCACAGTTCTGGTTCTTGGGATCTTTGTGAAGCACCAAGACACTCCCATTGTGAGGGCAAATAACCTCACTCTCAGCTACATCCTGCTCATCTCCCTCATCTTCTGTTTCCTCTGCTCCCTGCTCTTCATTGGCCATCCCAACTCAGCTACCTGCATCCTGCAGCAAATAACATATGGAGTTTCATTCACTGTGGCCCTTTCCACTGTGTTAGCCAAGACAATTACTGTGGTTTTGGCTTTCAAAGTCACAACTCCTGGAAGAAGGATGAAGTGGCTCCTGGTATCAGGGGCACCAACCTACATCATTCCCATCTGCACCATCATTCAAATTATTCTCTGTGCAATCTGGCTGGGAGTTTTTCCTCCCTCTGTTGACATTGATGCACATTCTGAGCATGGCCACATCATCATTGTGTGCAACAAGGGCTCAGTAACTGCCTTCTATTCTGTCTTAGGATACCTGGGCTCTCTGTCCCTGGGGAGTTTCACTGTGGCTTTCTTGGCCAGGAATCTCCCTGACACATTCAATGAAGCCAAATTCTTGACATTCAGCATGCTGTTGTTCTGCACTGTCTGGGTCACATTTCTCCCTGTCTACCACAGCACCAAGGGCAAGGTCATGGTGGCTGTGGAGGTCTTCTCCATCTTAGCCTCCAGTGCTGGCTTGCTGGGATGTATCTTTGTCCCCAAGTGCTACATCATTTTGATAAGACCAGAGAGAAATTCTTTACAAAAGTTAAGGGAGAAAACATTTTCCAGAACTCACATTTCATAAATTTTAACTGACAAATGTAATGTTGGTACAAAACCACCTATTAGGATACAATGCAAGATTATTCATTACATAGTGACTCTCACTGTTTCTTCTAATGGTGTTATTTATCAATGTCATGTATACTACTTTTACTATATTGTCTCCCATAAACTTCCATTCAGCCACCTATTTTTACACGACCTGACTTTTGGACATTAGTGAAGTGTGGAAGTGTTCTCTTTGTCCCTAATATGTAATAAGATTTGAAATTAACTCAGAGGTTTCTTTTTGATATCTTAGTGAATGTAAGACTTTTACAGCTACTGATTATTGGAAAAAATGAAGGAATTTTGTGACCTCATGTTTGCATATGAAGACAAAACAATGCTGCTCCTTGTAGGGAGAAGACTAGAGAATCCTGATGCATCCTGGCAGTTAGAGAAGTAGAACTTAGGAATGGGAGGGATGTTTCAATAAACAGATACTTCAGAATATTGCAGAAGCTGGAGAGATATCTCAGCTGACAAAATCATGTACTTCTCTTGTAAAGTGGCATAGTTCATAAAATGTAGTTCAAACCCACCTGTCACAGTAGCTGCAAGGGATCAAAGTCCTCTTTGGGCCTTCAAGGCCTCTTATACTCACACATGCACATAACAATACATTCAATACACACACATATACACAACACAACACACACACACACACACACACACACACACCAGAATCCAAACCTTCTTTGTCTGTCACTAGAAAATAAACAGAGTTCTCTCGGATAATAATGAAATAAAATATACTAAGATAAAAGAAAAAAATAACACATTTGATTGAACAAAACAAACAAAAAGAAGGAAAGGAGCCCAACAAGTCAGACAAATCAGAGACCCACTTGTTTGCACATTCTCAATCCCATCAAAACTGTAAAGTGGTAGCCATAGTACATACTCAAAAAAACTAATAGGGTAAAATGAGAGAAGAAAAATGAAGAACAGAAAACAAAACAAAATGAAACAAAACAAAAATGATTAAAACAACAAGAAAATAAACAAACAAAAAAGGAAAACACCCTGACATGATATTGTGAGAAAAGAAACAACCAAAGATGCCACTGAGTTCATTTTCTGTTGTCATCTACTGTTGAACATGCATTCTATCCTTCAGCATAGTTGGTTTCCCCAGTGAGACTCCCTTGGAGGAAACTAAACTTTCATTAGCATCTGGCTATCAACTGGATATTGCTTCTCGGTTAGGAATGAGCCTGTGTCCACTTCTCCTTTCAGCTCAAGTACCCTGCAATGAATAGTTTTTTTGCAAATCTGACAAAAACTAATGTCATCTGAGAGAAGGTAACCCCATTAATTAATGTTTTTAGTCTGGCAGTGGTGGTGCACACACCTTTAATCCCAGTACTTGGGAGGCATAGGCTGGCAGATGTCTGTGAGTTGAGACCAGCCTGATCTTCAGAGTTAGTTACAGAATAGCCAAGGATACATAAAGAAACCCTGTCTTAAAGCCTCCCACCCCCTAGAAAGAAAATATCTCAGTGAGATCCAGCTATAGATCATTTTCTTAATCAGTGATTGACTGGGAGGGCCCAGCTCAAATACACACACACACACACACACTATTTGAATAGAGCAGCTAACTGAACAAAGTGATATCCATGAAAATGAAGGAAGTGCATCATGGGAAGATCCTGGGCCTTTAGAGACGCATGAGGCATCATCTTCCTCTTTTGGGGACCCTGTGTGTATAAGAGTGTGCCAGTCCCCAGCTTCTTTATGCATTATTATTTTCTCTTGTCTTCCTGACTGATCTGGCTCTCTCAGAAATTGTTCATGAAGTCCTGGTTCACATACAATCATCACACAGATCGGTTCTGAAGATGCATGCCAAGTATCTTCTGCTGATTCTATATGGAGCCCTGGATACAGAAAAGCCTCCATCTCAATGGCTGCAAATGGCCTTCCTGGATTGTAGGTCTGTTCCAGTCTGTAGGAGTTGAAGGAATATGCACCAATTTAGCAAAAGGTGAAGGACTGTGAGGAAGTTACAAGATAAAGGCTGACTGGATGTTTAGAGTAACACAGAGAATTGAGTTTGACACAGGGCACCATAATTTAGAGTGAGGCTCCAGGTATTGATTGCAAATTGGTTGTTCTGTTTGAAATTTGGTGTCAGGGATATAAAATGGGGTCCTAAGTTTGCCATAACTTACTATGTAGCTCATTATGCAGTGATCTGTTACAGTATAATCTTCATGAAAAGTTATATTGAAAGTGAATAATTTGAATTTCTTCAGAATAAAATCATATAAAAATAGAATGCATAACAAGTTGGAGAAATGTTTCAATGGCTTCAGAAACAAAACAGTATATTGACAGAAATTTGATGTATTGAATGTCAAATTTACAAAATATTTAAAAATATTTACATGTATAACTCTTGAATCTGTTCATCAGCATATGTAATTGACAGTGGAAATAAATTTTTTTTGGAATAATCTAGTGGTCAAATTAATAAAATATGTGAATGATACAAGCAGAAGAACTCCCAAATTAGCATTTCATCAGCAAATGAAATCAACAACACAAAAGTAATAGTGAATGTAAGAGGCAGACTCAAAATGCAGGCTATATCCCAACCTGAATAGGAGGATGGATGCAGAATTCATTTAGCTTAATATGATTACTTAAAGAAATAATAGCCGATGGAATCAAATGCCAAATAATGACTTCATATGTGAGTATTCAGACAGTGAAGAACAATCATGCTTCAAAACTCTTTAATTTAAGAAATATGGGAGCTAGGTTTTAAGGTTTGTTCCTCTAGCACATGTTGTATCCCTAATTTGATGAAGAGAGTTCATTTCTGGTCTTAGTAGTATTATGTGGCACTTGGGGACAAAGATGATGCCTAAGAGTCATGTACTACAAGCCAAGATAGAGAGGACTTCCATAGCCACCATGACCTTCCTTTTGGTGCTGTGGTAGACAGGGGGAAATGTGACCCAGACACTGCAGAACACCAGCATGCTGAAAGTCAGGAATTTGGCTTCCTTGAATGTGTCAGGCACATTCCTGGACAAAAAAAGCCATAAGGTATAAGCCTAGATCCAGTGTTCCCAGGTATCCCAGGATGCAGTAGAAGACAATAGCTGAGATTTTGTTGCAAATGATGATGATGTGCCCATGTTCTGAATGAACATCTTTGTCAATAAATGGAGGAGAGGTTGCCAGGCAGATTCCAGAGAGAACAACTTGCAGCAGGGTGCAGATTGGAATGATGAAATAAGGGGCCTTGCTATCAGCAGCCACCACCTCATTCTTCCTGGAGTAGTGATCTTGAAGGCTATAAGTACAGTGAGAGTTTTGGCCATCACAGTGGAAAGAGCCACAGTGAACAGAAGTCCAAATATGTTCTGCTGTAGGATAAGGTGACTGTGTTAGGATGGCCATTGTAAAGCAAGGGACAGAGAAAACGGAGGATGAGAGTGATGAGCAGGATATAACTGAGATGCCGATTATTGGCCTTGACAATAGGAATGTCTCTGTGTTTCAGAAACACCCCAAGAAAAACAGCTGTGAGTGAGGAGAAACCCAAGGACATGATGCTGAATATCTTCCCCAAGGGGTCTTCATAGGCCAGAAATGTCACAGTCTTATGTTGACAGTGGCTCTTCTCATTATTTGCATAGTGTGTTTCTTGACACTTCACGCACTGATCCACATATGGCAGATGTGCAGGTGGTTATGAATGCATACTCAGTTTTCCTCTTTTATTCTAAGACTCTTACCTGCTCCAGAACATTGAAATGTTATCTGAACCACCTTGCTTTGTTTCCCATACAAATACAGAAGGAGTAAACTCAATTTGCCTTCTACTTCATGCTGACAGAAATTAAGCAGCACCAATGCTTTCTCTGTTGTTACTCATGTGGTATCCTCACCAGTCAGATGTGAGGGTGAAAACCTATTAGATCAGAAAGATCTAAGAGCATCCATCTGACTTTCTTGTTTGACTGGAGACCCAACAACAGACATGTCTTTCCATTCATCCCAAAACAAAACAAAGAACCAAATTCCATGTCCCTCCCTACCCCTTCCTGTGTTGTCTCTCTATCTGTATTCCTGGTTCATCAGAATGCTCTATGGCTAATTCCATTCAAATATTTGCAGGCTCTGCCCCACGGAACCAAGGTTGATTTTATTTAAATAATGCATTCACACTACAGTGTGATTGATATCCAGCAGAAATACAGACAATATTTACAGGTTTAATAGTGGTGTGTCTGCTCCACCCTTCCTTCCCATTCTCTTTCTTCTACGCTACAAAGTACAGATATGTAAACAGCATCTGCTTTATTTCCCTATCCATGAAGAGTTACTCAAGCTTGCCTCATTTCTTCACAGACAGCTGAAATGTCTCCAAGCAGAGCTGACATCATGTTTTATCCCATCACCTTCTCTCACCTGTGGAAATTTGTAAAGATCCAGCAGTGTCCCTATGTATTCAGATATTGCCCATGATGGTCCTATAAGTACAGCAGCTGTCATGCCTTCTCTTACACATCTGTGGTTAGGGATGCCATAGCCATTCCCTGAAAGTGAGCCAAAAAGAGTTGCCAGAGTGGCCTTTTGGCCATTTGGGACATTATGGACCTCAAATCCCAGGGATGTATTAGGTAAAAGATAGGGATTGTTATTGATTTCCTCAATGGCAAACATCATGGTCAAAATCCATTTGTAGTTCCTCAACTTGAACCTACACAGAAGGTAGAACAATATTTAGGAGGAATACTCACACCACACAACCATAACATATGTGCAAGCAAATTGAAAATAGATTTTTTTCATACAATATGATTTCATTACAGTTTCTCCTCCAGCAAATACTCTAGGTTCCCCTCAATTCCCCTCCTGCTCAAATCTATATGCTTTATCCTCTCTCATTAGAAAACTACCAGCTACCAAAAAAACATGATAAATTAAAATAGAAACAAGCCAAAATTGGATAAAATA